AAAAGCTTTTCTTATCATGAATACTACCGATGATGTTCTATCTTTTCATGCTAATGAAAGTACTTTATCATCTGATATTTTTGGCAAAGTGTATCATGTCTTCTCCAAAAAGCCTGATTTTGGGGTTTGCATTTTCAAAAATTTGATAGATTGAACTTTGATAGTAAAAACAGAAAGATATATTTTTGAAAAATCTGTGTAGAGGGGTAGAGAAATTTCTGAAAAAAACGTTTTTCATCCAAAGCCCTTCAGGAGGTACACAGATTTTTCAAAAGATACTTTTATGTGAATCAACAGAGGATCGCGTAGTGATCAATACTCAATAGAAACTACTTCATATGGTGAAGGTTTTTTATTCATTTTTGAACGAAGTCGTATGTGTCTCTTTACTGCCTCACACACCAAAAAGTAGTTTTGCGCATGACATTCTGTATGGTATTTGCGCTAGTATATATCCACAAAGTTTCCGTACTAAAAGCGGCATTATTGAAAAATGACGAAGTATAGAATGAATAGGGACAGTATTGCTTATCGTCATTGTTTACTTGGGGATGCCTCCATTATGATTTTAGTTTTCATATTTCACTTAGAGCGACACACAGAAAATATCATTGAAATCCATGATATCAAATAAGTACGATTGGTCGTCCTTATCATGCAATGGTTCTTAGGTGCAATGCCTTCTACTCTCAGTCGTAATGTTTCTGGGTTCTGTTCTAGAATGATTAGTCAGAATCCTCAATAGCCAGAACGAAATCAAGTTTGTATCAGGCTTTTGCATAGTGTCTTAAGGTACTCTTTCATTTTGTCAAAATCGCCATTGAAACAAGAAGAAAGATTATCTAAAGACTTTCACAGAATGCATTCAGCAGCTGCTTGACATTTTAGTATTATGTTTCCGTCAGAATCTGATATTTTGTCTCATGACGACCTTGTGAGACACACATCAGCGATTTTCGCGCAGAACCCATACCTTGGATTGAGGAGCATTTTTGCCGGAGCGGAATGGAGCGAGACGGGGCGGACTGAAGTTATATTCCAGAATTTTCCCCGTGATAAAGTTTCCACAATAAATATTCAAATTTAGACAATGCATCTGAAGAATTGATATATGTGCTTATGATGCATGCCTCTATGTTACGAAATTTTATCTTCTCAACAATTTCAAAGTCAATTGGATGAACAGTCGGTGGATACAAACTCTTATCGTTACTAATAATAGAGGGGTGGGTGTCGATATCGGTAGGTGCTGGCATTGTGCGTGTACGTGGGCGGGAGTTAAGATTAACCCGAACACTCACACACACACACCCATAATTTTCTAAGTTTATGTTAAAGATTTTTATTTGGCTTTTTTATAAAGATTATCTTCAAAGTCATATTTTATTTTCATGTCTTTACTAATGATTCTCACTTGATTTCGAATATCGATTATAATTTGATTTTTGAATAAATAATCATGAGATAAGAATTCATATGATTAATTTTTATTATGAGTAACTAGTGTATAAATCTTCATGGTTAGTATGTAATTTGCGTAGAAAATAGTGATTATACAACTATTTCATACATATCTTTTATATGGTTTGTCGATCTTATGTTGCGATGAAGAATTACATCTTGACTCTCAGATATTCGACTCAAAAATATAATTTACGTCATTGCCATTGGGTAGGTCAGGCCTTGATAACAGTAGTTAAAAAAATGACCTATCGATTTAGAAGAATTGTTCGTTCTAAAAATCGTTTGGATTGTACACACAAAGATTGACTTATTCTTCTCACGCATATTGAATGAGTTGACTAATCGAGAACGAAACATAACTGTTTGAATAACAATTTTGAAGATTTTTACGAAAAATTTAATCGGCTTCGAATATGTTCATGAATGTGACTGTTACGAACTAATTTATTTCAAAATTAGTTTCTGTATAACCTACAAATGCCTTCATTGAAGTAAAATGCTAGACGTACTACTAGACCAGAAAATCAATTTCAACGAACAAAAAATTGTTTCTTGATGATACTCATTGAAATACTGATGCCATATGACGCACTCATAAATGAACACTAATACCCGATAGAAAAAGTGAGTTCATCAGTAGAGCGTCAAGGAAAAAACGACGTACTCCTGTACTCCGACTGGAGTTCATGAACTTCGTGGACATCTGGGGTACAAATAGTACAAGAAGTCCAGGCAGTACAGAAGTACTGGACTACGTCGTTATCCCTTGGTTTATTCTCACTGAAGTTTATATTCGATCGGACTCCGTGTACTCTGGGGGTACAAGAGTGCGTCGTCTATCCCTTGTATAGCGTACATTATAAGATAATAAAAATGATAATGTCATGAACAGATGAACATGATAATCATATCGAAAACTATTTTCGGGAGTAACACATAAGAACACAAGAGGGTCTAATTGGTAAGTATATATTGAAAGATGCCTTCGTTAATCTATAGAAAAGTGGCAAATCTCGATCAATATAAGAATAAGTTTTTTTTAATCAGATTTCAACCATTTTATAGTGCATCTGGATTACAATGGCGACAAAAGTCATTCTGAAGACCAAAGAAGATGTTCTATCATTTTATAGCAATATATTCATGCACTTAGCTAGTCGATTTAGAATGTTAAATTTAACAAATATCGTTTATTATTATCTGTTGTTTCTTTTACTCTCCGGAGTTCTCGAGAGAAGAATTTCTACAAATATCATCTTGTTTATCTCTTTTGCTTGAATCTTAACAGAAGCTACCAATTATGATTGCTCTCAATATCTCCTCAAAAAGCCGATCAGTCTTGTTTGACCGGCTAAATACCAAATGTTCATAGTGAGCATCAAAATCTCTTATTGTTCCTGGAATGCCAGAGGAGCAGAAAATTCTCCGAAAGGTCAAAAAGTTATACAAAACTGAATACACTTAAATTATAGGCATTCTGACAGATGAAGAGCCAAGTTTTTAAAGCTCGATAAAAAATCAATTAGTTTTTCAACTTTTCCGAGGACTAGACCTTCAAGCCTCTCCCTAATGAAGAAGATAGCTTAACAAGAATCATTGATTCATAGTTGCTAGTGAATCATTAATTTCTTGTGAGTGGAAAATAAAAATAAACCTCTAGAATTTGTCAACTTAATTCATTTTATATGGGAACTATAAAGAGTATGGTGTTTTCACTGATTAGGGTTGTTACGCGAGATGCTTTCACGTTCTTAGGAACGAGAATGCGCAGCAATCTTGCATAAAACGATACGTAAAGAAGCATATAAATCTCAGTATGTTGAAATACCTAATACTGGTAAAAGACATTTGGAGATATTTTTTCATTCCTAGGAAGGCGAACGCGGGTTGCGTTGCCATTTCTGGGAACTGGAACGCCAAACACTTTTCCATAAAAAGGCAAGCGAAGAGATATTCAAACCTTAGTACATGGAAAAATGCTAGAAAACATAACTTTGAGATGCGTTCCCGTTCTTTGCGAACGATACGCTCAGAAACGAGAACGCTAACACCCCTACCACTGATGGCACACGATGCTCGATCTCCATCAATACGAAACTAAAGTTTTATAAACTGTGATTATCCGCGGAATGATATTTCTTATTGAATTTTTTTAATGGTGACTCGTCATGTTAATTTCTCGTTTCAAATAGATATTTTCGTAATAATGCTCATCGGCCGATTCTGTCTAAAACTTGAATAAAAATAATTCCATTCACTTGCAATATCGATCATTAACAAAAGCAAATTTTAATCAACTAAGGGCGAAATACGAGAAGAGTGTACATTTATTATAAAAGTTTACCTGTGGAATTTTTGTTGATATTCATTGTTGACATACTAAAAAGATAACTATTAGATTTTTATCGTTTTAGTATGGCATTTACCTGGTGGCGACCGATGTTGTTGTTGCATTGCTTTTACTTCCACTTGCTCCGGTTGATGGAACAATATTCTAGAAATAGACGAAAAAGAAATATAAATTTATCAGCACAATCGTGTTTGGTTTAGTCACTTGTGGTCCAAGATCAATAAGCTTAACAGGTGAGTCAATTTCTTCCAATTGTACAATATTCATATCAGGGCCTTGTCGGAGACATGCAACAACTTCAAAACACCGAGCGGCCGGTAAAAGAATTTCACTTTCACGTGGAAAAGCGGAATGTTTTTGAATATCTTTTCCCGTTTTACAATCGATGTTGAACAAAGTTCTGACTCCTGTCGAACCGAGGAATTGATCATTACTCAACACATTCAGCTGCGAAGTACATGAACTAAATCCCCACCAAATTATTTTTTCCCCTGTTTTATATGCGCTTTGCATGTTGCCTTTAACTCCACGGTAAACATGACGTTGAAGGTTTGGCAGTAGCGCAAGAGCTGACAGCAATAATCGCAGATATAAAAACCACGGTTTCAGATTTTTTCGATCTTCATCCCGAAGGGTTGAATTGAGTATATAATATACACATTCTTTTTCATCATTTGGTTCCATTGTGTAAAGGATAATTGCTGCTGATTGATCGGTGGTTAGATTATCTGCTGGTGGCTCAGTACATTTCCATTTGGCCCACGCGGCGTTGTTCTTGACATTGTCCACAATTGTTTCCAGAGGTTCAACCGCCTCTTCCAATGTAACTAGTGACTTTTTTTCATATCCACTAATTGGCATTAATTTTCTGCGGGGATTTTCTTCGACGTCGGAAAATCGTTGTCTGCGTTGTGGTTCTTGATCAGCGACATACTTGAAAGCCATTTTTGAAACTTTTTTCGTTGATTGAAATAAAAGGTAAAAAAATCTGCAAGAAAAAGAAGTTGATTTCTTAAGCTAACCTGGTTAAATTCACCTATATTGAATAAGAAAAAGCTCTTAAAAACAGTAACAAGTCATCATGTTTTCAATTATACCTGACAAGTGACAGAGAAACAATCGTAAATAATAGGTATGCACATTTCTTTTAGAAAAGACTAATTGTCATTTCATGTCCAAGGGAGAACAACAGTTCTTCCTTCATGAAAAACTTGCTAATGATATGACACAATAAGGATTCGCCCAGCTCATAGCAAAAACACATTTATATTCACAAAGACGAATATGTTTCCGTCCACAGAAGGTGAAAAACAAGGAAACATCTATCAGTTTTCATTTGAATTACTGTTATA